CTGCATATAGTGACTTCCTTCAAAGATATGGCAAAGAGCCCAAAGAATAACTGCAGTGAATAAACCGGAAAAACACTTCAGTGYCAAGGTCAGCATCCAGGCATGAACTATATTGATAGTGGGAGATGAAGTGAAAGCCAGCTGCCCTGCCCCTGCTCCACCCCACGCTACACTCCAGCCAGATGGGCTTCTCTCGCTGGTTCAAGCATCTGAGTTTCCCACTGTTCTCTCCCAGATTCCTTGCTTGCGAACCTGTCCCACTCACTGTCTAGATCCTGCTCCTTTCCCAAGACTCAGTTTAAGCGTCTTCCTCAGGAAGTCTTCTGGAATCCTTTTGTTTTAAGCTCTCATAGAATAAGAAAAATTCCCTTTTGAAAACGTACTGATTTGATCATTATTTGGGTAAACTGTATTTTTCCCCCAAAATGGAGTCATATATTCTATGTCAAAGAAGAAGAAGGAAGAGAAGGAGGAGGAGGAAGAAGAGGGGAAAAAAAAGAAAAGATAATAGGAAGTGCTGAGAGCCATTGCCAAGTAGGAATGACGCATCGAAATTTCCTTGCCAGCGTACCCCATGTTGCTTAGTGGAAATGGACTTGCCTTGGACATTTGCAGTGACATTGCATGTATGTTTGAGAAAGGTGACCCTGCTCAAGGACCAGGGTGGATCCGGATTTAAGGAGGATCCTACTGGATTAGGGCGGATCCAGGTTTAGGGTGTATCCTGCTGGGAATAGAGAATATCCCGGTCCTTGGGTTTAGGGCGGTTCCAGGTTTAGGGTGTATCCTGCTGGGAATAGAGAATATCCCGGTCCTTGGGTTTAGGGCGGTTCCAGGTTTAAGGTGTACCCTGCTGGGAATAGGGCGTATCCTGCTGCCTCAGGCACGCCTGCTCCCAGAGTATTTGGGATTCAGAACGTGAATTTCCCCAGAACGTATGTAGAGTGCAGGTGTGAGTTTGGGAATAAAGAATTGCTATTTGAATCTACAAGGTGTGTGGTGGCTCGTGATTTTGTGCCCAGCCAGACTGCGGCAAGGAAGTTTCCACAGGACAGATGGGGGAGACCTGGAGGTCTAGAGTGGGAATGGAGAGGCAGAAGGAAAAGAGAGTCTGAAATCTAAGAGGAAGGGTCTGCTGGGCTCCCAGGAGCACTGGACAGGTGGGGTCTGTATGGAGGTAGAGGACAACCCCTGAGTCCAGGGCCCAGCTCCAACCAGGTGACAATGTTAGGGATGATGCTGGCAATCCCAGAAGCCAGAATGCTCTGTAAGGGGAAAAAAATAAGTACTAGACAAACCACACCCCAAAAAACCCCATATAACAGTGTGTCTTCCAAAACACTGGAAAAAATAAAAACAAAGAAAGCACAGTCTGTACAACATGAGGAAAAGAAATGAGAAGGGGTAGAAAGGAAAAGAAGAAAGAGAAAAAGAAACAAAGAAAAACAAAGATTAGATATATTAGGAAGTATAGCCAGGTGAGGTGGCACACACCTGTAATCTTAATAGCTCTGGAGGCTGAGGCAGGAGGATCGCAAGTTCAAAGCCAGCCTCAGCAAAAGTGAGGCACTAAGCAACTCAGTGAGACCCTGTCTCTAAAGAAAACACAAAATAGGGCTGGGGATGTGGCTCAGTGGCCGAGCACCCCTGAGTTCAATCCCCGGTATCCCCCCACCCCCGCCAAAAATGTAAAAAAGTAGAAAAATAAAATATTAGAGTACGTGTCCATAAGAGTTAGGATTAGTCAGTAGGAGTCAGTCAACTATTTTTTTCACCTTTTCTTTTATATTCAAATATAAAAACTACAAGTTCTTCGAGAATATTTTACTGCAGCTTTGAGAAACGGTATGTCAAGCATTGTTAGCTTGGTGAATTAGAATAAAAATCAATATTATAAAATAAAAACACAAGTGAATAAGACAAAGTTCTTACCTGCCCCTGACTCCCAACTTTCTACGTGACAATAGAAAAATTCCCAGAATTTCACAACAAATATTGTTGGGTTTAAGACCTGAGGAGCTGCCTGGGTCATGACAATGCCCTGAGCAAGGCCCCATTGTAAGCAGAAGTTCAGGTGACCTCACTGCCAGAGAAGCAAGCCCTATGTATGGGAGGAGCCAAGATCACAAGACCAGCAGAGGAACAGCACAACATTATGCTTGCTGGTTATGGGATGGGGTGCAGGCCCCAGATAAAAACACAGCCTCAATGACTCAGGCTTTTACAGTTGTAAGGAAAAGTGATGAGTGAGGGCAGGGGGAAAGTCTTGTCACAGGAACCATTGTGCACAGGAAACCAGGAGGATGATCAGGAGGAATGGATGTGAGGCAGCACCAGGAACCTGAGCAAGCAGAGCTGGGGGTCTGCCCTGGGAGTCCTTTGCCTCTACATCTTAGCAACTCTTGTGCTAAACGTTCCCTTCTCTCTGGTAGACACAGTCCTCATGTGCTTCACCTCTTTTCTTTTTATATTTTAAGCTTTTTAATTTTTTTTTAATTTTTAGTTGTAGTTGGACACAATATCTTTATTTATTTATTTTTAAAATTTTTTTAGTTATACATGGACACACTATCTTTACTTTGTTTACTTTTATGTGATGCTGAGGATCGAACTCAGGGCCTCACTCCTGCGAGGCGGCCGTTCTATGCTCACCTCTTTTCTCTCTCTCATGGCTTCTGCTCATTGCCACTTTCCGTAGGTGCCCCATGATGGCCCCATGGCCTTCTCTAACTAGGGCCTTGCAGCCCAACTTTCACATTAGCTGCCTCATTCTCTTTGATATTTCCTGGTTCAACTTTTTTTTCCCAGAAAAAAAATGGTCTAGTTTTCCCAGCCCATGTCTTCACACCAGGACCAACATAGATCCCTGGGCAGCCTTGTTCTATCATGCCCCGTTCACCCCCTGGGTGAGGGAGGGATCCTCTGCCCTAAAATAGTATAAGATAGCCAAACCCATGACATCTGCCACTGGACAGATAAGATTGACAGCAGTTCACTAATCACGTAGACTCATAGTCCAGGGGAGAAATACACCACATGTCATGCAGGGCCCATGGGGTTACTCTTGGGAGCAGAGCAAACCAGCCAGGAAAGCTGGTGTCATAGTAGCACGAGGATGAGGGGCTTCAGTTCCTGCAGCAGAGTGTGATTGGCTTGTGGAATCATTTCCCAGCTGGCAGGGAAATGGAAACTATCCTTGGGGTGAGTTTAGCTGACCCAGTTAGTAAGGAACTAGTCACGTGGGGAGCATTTCAGCTTAGGGGGGACCATATCTGGTGAGACAGAGGAAATTAGGGTTAGGTTTTTAGAGCCCTGTGAGGCTCAAATTCATATTTTAAAGATTTTACCACATATTTTAGAGCTTAAAGCCACACAGCCTGTGCCTTCAGCTCTGATCCTTTTGCACATAGATCAACCTGCTGCTGGTTGCTCTTTTAGAGTGCTTTCCCTGGGGTCCTAATGGGGACCCTAGTAGGACTGTTCTGCTGAGCCCATCCCAACACTAACCCCCGCTCCCTCCTGCTTTCTCTCTGCTCCCCTGGCTGGGGAGGTTTCAGAGGTCTCAGTCCATTGACAGCTGGCTTTTTTCCTGAGGTCTCCAGGTAAGGAACAATATGGCAGAAGAATATGGCAGAGGGAAGAGGCTCACATGATGATCAGAGAGCAGAGAGACTTCACTCACCAGATTAAAAAAAAAAAAAAAAGCCGGGGAAAGCCACGCCCCTAATTCCCACCTCCTCCAGCCACACCCTCCCGCTTCACTTACCGCTCAGTTAATCCCTATCAGAGGATGAGTTCACTGATTGGGTTAAGACTCTCACAACCCAATCATTTCTCCTCGGAATCTTCTTGCATGGTCTCACACGTGAGCTTTTGGAGGACACCTCATATCCAAACCATAACAGTGCCCCAGAATTTCACATCCAGCAAGGAAGCCTGCCTTTCCTTCACGTTCACATGTACAATGAGGAATGAAAAGGGGCACAGGGAGAGAGGCCGGGACCCAGGGAGAGAGGMCGGGACCCAGGCAGTGTCTAATTCTGAAGATTTGAAATGAACTCCTTCAGGTACCAAAAGAGTCGTTCCCCCACCCAAGGTGCAGGAAGGGAGGAAATGCAGAACAGAGGAGGTGCAGGGGAGGAGCTGGACGGATGATCATAGCAGAGGCAGGAAGTGAGTGAGAGGAAGGGAATAAGGAGGAGGAAGAGGAAGGAAGGTGAAGCCAGCTCAAAAGGAGATATGAGTCCCGGACCTGAACAGGGCAGCTCGCCCCAGGGAAGAAAGGGTTCGAGTTTCGGAGGGATGAACGAAGAAGGCAATGGGAATGTGATGTGGGCACCTGCCGGCCACCAGCCTCCTAAGCAGGCAAGTGAGAATTCTCAGGCATCAACCAGGAAAAGCCTCGAGCAAACAATATCAAGAGAATTGCCTGACGGGTCTGAAGCAAATTCTTTTCATATTTCATTCTTACTTTTTTAATTTAAATTAAATTTCAACTTATACAAAACAATTTGCATATTTATGTGGTGTTTGGATACAGGTATCCATGGTGTACTGTTTAAATGCAGTGAAACGGGTCTGTCTCTTATGTGATGCAGATGAGGCATCGATGAAGAAATGGGGGAGCCTAAGGCAGTGCCTCAGAGATCAAGGTCTGTAGCACCTTAGCCAGGTTGTGTGAACTTCTAAATTCTTCCCCTCCCACTTAACCCAAGGGCTTTCCATTCCAGCTGCCCCTGTGGGGGTCAGAGAATTCCCAGTCAAGACAGACAGACTGGGATGGGGATATGGCTCAGTTGGTAGAGTGCTTGCCTACATGCACAAGGCCCTGGGTTTAATCCCTAGGACCATTAAAAAAAAAAAAAAAACAGACTTCAGGATGCCATGGGGTTAACTTTGAAGAAGGAGGGAAAAAAACAACTAAAGCACAAAGTCATCCTGGTGTATTGAGAAGAGACARTTCCTCAAATTCAACAAGCATTGAGCTGGGGCAAGTCCTTTCAGGGTTCTGATGGAACGTAGGGCTGCTTACAGACGAAAGGTAACGTTTTATCACAGGAAGCGTCATTCCATGACATGAGCAAAGGAATCCTTATAAGGGCACAGTGTTCATTGTTTCCCGCATTGTTGGGCTCACCTGGAATCCAGAACCTTCCAAATCAAAAAACAAAGAAAGACATATTGACAAAATTGGAAAACAAATAATTAATTTCCAATAAGGAAATGAGTTACTTCAACCCCTTTGTTTTTCCTCACCTTTGGTCCTAGGTAAGAACAAACCAAAGCAAATCTTTTGCACCCAAGCCTAAGACGAGGGAGATTGGTTCGACTTCAGCCTCTAAGCCCACCACTTATGAGCCCCTTCACGAACCCACTCTGCAAAGATTTTTGACTTGGGGTGGAACCCCCTGCTCAAGCTGAGTAGAAGGCCCTGCTGCCAAATCCCAGAGGCGGTGGAAGGCCACAGATTTGTCCCAGGTCCCTCAGTCAATGAGTGCCAGCAGTGAGCCAGGTCTCAGTTCCCATGTTCCCATCGTGCTAGGACAGCGATGAATCACAAACCCCATGTTCCATGGGAAATACTCCCATCCTTGATGCCCGAGGAGAGTCAGGTGGGGAAGGAGGGTACGAGAGGCTCACCTCAGACTTGGGTCATTGAATGGAGTATTATCCGTCCAGAACCAGTTCCCTTCACTCCCTGTTTTGGTTAGGCCAATCCAGAATGGAAAGTCACTTGCTGTCTTGTACAGAAACTCCTGTGGGGAACTCAGAATGATCAGAGGTGTTGGCCATGACCTGAAGTTTGAGTACCTATCTCCAGGTATTGATGCTCAGTGATAGCCTCTGGACTCACAGGCCCAAGGCACACGCTGGACCCTCTCAGGCCTCTTCCTGCCTTTACTGGGAACCCAGAGTCTGTCTTTCAAGTTCTSATTTTGTCTTTGCTCTGCAACTAACAAACTCAGGACCCAGGTCTTTCTACTTTTCCAGAAGCAGGTACTAGAGTACAAGAAAGACTCAGATAAACTACAGAGCAGAGACCCCAAGAGAATGGCCCAGAGGACAGTGTTTAAACTCAGGGAGCCTCTTCAGTCAGAATGGCAATTCTCAAGGATACAAACAATAATAATTGTTGGAGAGGATGTGGGGGAAAAAAGCACACTCGTACATTGCTGGTGGGACTGCAAATTGGTGCAACTACTCTGAAAAGCAGTATGGAGAATCCTCAGAAAACTTAGAATGGAATCACCATTTGCCCTAGCTATCCCATTCCTCAGTTTACATTCAAAGGACTTGAAATCAGCATACTACAGTGACGCAGCCACATCAATGTTTATAGCACCCCAATTCACAATAGCTAAACTATGGAACCAACCTAGGTGTCCTTCAACGGTGAATGGATAAAGAAAATGTGGTACATATACACAATGGAATATTCTTCAGCCTTAAAGAAGAATGAAATTATGGCATTTTCAGGTAAATGGACAGAACTAGAGAATATTATGCCAAGTAAAATAAGCCAATCCCCAAAACCAAAGGCCAAACATTTTCTCTGATCAGCAGATGCTGATCCATAGTGGGGGTGGGGATTAGGAAAGAATGAAAGAATTTTGGATTATGCAGAGAGGAATGAGGGGAGGGGTGGGGCTGTGGGGATGGGAACGAGGGTGGAATGAGACAGATGTTATTACCCTCTATACACATATGATTACACAAGCGGTGTGACTGCACCATGTACAGCCAGAAGAATGAGAAGTTGTGCTCCATTTGTGTACAATGTGTCAAAATGCATTCTACTGTCATGTATAACTAATTAGAACAAATTTTAAAATTTTTTAAAAAGCTATTTTTAGATTAAAAAAAATTCAGTGAGCCTTTAATATGTGCAAGATACCAGGAACAGTCTTCTGGTGCCTTGCACATATTATATCATGCATCTTCTCCTTTCTTCTCTGAAGCAGGCACCATTACTATGCAGGTTTCATCAACTAATAGTCTGAAGCCCAGTGAAGGTAAGTAGTCTACCCCAAGGCTCCAGGACTAGTTAGATGGCAGGTTAGGGCTCTAGGTTACTCCAGAGCACATGCTCTTTTCTGCTGTACTCCCCACCTCCCAGATAGAAAGATCAATATGCTGCCTCATTGGAAAAGAAATTTCTTAAGTCTTGTCAGGTCATTAATGCAATTCACAAATATTTCCGTTTTCTGGACACATGGAAAGAACACCCCTCCCGACTTTCTTTAAAAGTTAGCAGTACTGGCCAGGCAAAATGTTGTACACATGTAATCCCAGTGACTTGGAAGGCTGAGGCAGAAGGATTGCAAGTTCAAAGTCAGACTCAGCAATTTAGTGAAGCCCTAAGAAATTTAGAGAGACCCTGTCTCAAAACAAAAAAATAATAAATAAACAAAAATTTTAAAAGCTAACAGTACTGTGTGTAATTTGCTTTCTCCGGTGAAATGTGAGCAGAAGTAATTTTGTCACATTGGGGCAGAAGCTATCAGAGTCAATGCACAATTCACTACATCCCCTTTCCTAAATCTTCGTGATTATAGATAATGTGTTAAGGTGACACTGAGGTCCCTGAGTAACCATAATGAGCAGAACCTGCTTGCTGGTTCTTGTGAGACAGGTAGTATAAATGAGAAATAATCTTTCATTGTTAGGTCACCAATATTTAGGGCTTTTTTATTAGCCTTGCCCAACGTCCCTGAGACAGGTGTTAGCACACCCCTTTACAGAGCCCCCCCACCACCACCCCACCCCCACCCCCGAGAAACCACACTCACCTGCTCGCTCTTGGAGGTCACTGAAGTCAGGTGTGAGTTCCTGGACATACAGAACTGCTGGGCACTATACCAGGTCTTTGGGGTGTAAGAGAAGTAGTAGAAGTTCCCTTTGAAGTAATTCCAGTCTTGGGAAACCATCTGCAGGATGTCATCTGGGGGATAAGGGCCAAAGGTGAACCCTGGCTTCTGTTCCCTGGGGCTGCAGGATGGGGCTGGGTACTTGAATGGGATTCCAGAGACCACAAAGAATGGGATTGGGCCCTGGGGTCTTTGGATCCTGCTATGGGAGCTTGGGGACATCCTCATGGATCCTGAAAGTCTCACTGAGACTGGTGGATAGGGTCTCTGGGATTAGAGAAGAGATACTAAGAGGGGATGGATTGCAAACCCTTCTTTCCCATGAAGGAGAAGCAATTCTCCACTAACAGGAACAAATAGCTGGCCCCTGGGCTTGAGGTAAGGAATTTAATGGGAAATGGTGAGATGTGGGCCAGAACAGAGATCCCGTAATGCTCCATTCCTTGGTGTGGGGGCCCAAGCTGAACCGTGAGGTTTTCTCTTCTAATATCCCCAAAGTTTTCCTCAACCCCAATGCTAAGTTCTCACTCCTTAATTTTCCAGCACATGCCTGCCCCCTGCTTCTCACCCAGCAGCTCAGTGGTCTCATGTCTGAGGCAAGCAGGTCTCAGAGGGGCCTCTGGTCATTTTGCAATGCCACTTCCTGAGTCACTTACTTTGTTGTTTGAGCGACTTGCTGATGGTCTCCAAGCTGCTCTGCAGTCCCCGGACCTTGGCATTTAAAGCACTGGCTTTGTCCAAATCTCTTTTTAACTCTGGGATTTGGGCATTCAAATGACCCACCTCCTCCCAATTTCTTGTTAAGCTTTGGATCTCTGCAGTGGCTTTTTCTATGCTGGCTGTCAATGTCAGGATCTGAGCATTCACACTATCCAGGCTGGCATCCACCATCTGGATCTGCACGCCGGCTGCCTCCACATCACGGCTGTTCTTCTCAACTTTAGAACTCAGGGCACTGACATTGTTCACACGACCTTTCAGCAACTGGGCATCCGTCTTTATGTCGGATATTGTGCCCATAAACCAGGGATCTGAATGTATGAAAGTTAAGAGATCAGCTGAGCAGATTCCCAGGGAAAAGAGAGGGGGTGTAGTCAGGGTGAGAAAGGAAGGAAGGTCAGGCTCAAACTTCCTAAGAAACCAAGACAGTCCAAGGAGCAGCTACTACTCTCCAGTCATTCATTAATGTTCAGCAAGCATTCAATGGGCACCCAGGGAGAGCCAGGAGCTCCGGTGGAGACAGATGATGAGAAGATGGATAAAGCACAGGTTTTCTGCAGACCTCACAGGCAAGCAGAAGCAGCCATTAGAAGTCAGTCCTGAATCTCCTCTGAGTATTCAGAGCAAATTTGGGAAAGGCATGTCCTCAAGCACCCCTTGTCACTCTCCCCATAGCCTGGGGCTCTGGGCCACCTCAGTTGGGAGATAGGGGAGACAATAGCATGGGGTGCAAAAAATAGGTGAATGTGTCCTGAGGATGGAAGCACAAACTTGCAGGCCCCGGAGCCAATCAGGAAAACCTCCCAGAAACTGGGAAGGAAGAGTGGCAGCTCAGTCTATTGGGGACAGGGCACCCTGTTACTGCACACAGAAAGAGGAGAAAGGAGATAAATGAAATGCCTTAGGAAAGAGAGAGCAGGAAAGAGAAGGTCTGGGTCCCCAGGGAGCCAACTAGCTGTGGAGAAGGACAAAAGGGATGTGAATCCTGAGGACTTACAGAGAATGGCTTGCAGCACAACGGAGGCGACCAGGACCAGTGACAGGCAGATTAATGCCACGCGGAGGACGAGAGGTTTCCGCAGGACCAGAGATGGATCCTGCTTGGGAGGAGGCTCTGTAAGAAGAATCAAAGTTCTGTTAAGGACAGCAAAGGGTGGGTTTGGACCCAGAACACAAAACAACCACTGGTGCTTGCCTCGGGGCCAGAGGGAGATATTCTGTTTGTCCACAGTGAAGTGCGCATCGGGGACCTCCATCTCTGCGGCCTTCATCCCCCACACTCATGCACAGGTGCTTCTGGCCACCTGTCTCCCCAAGCACGTTTTATCCAGAGAAAACAGGAAGTTTCTCTGAGACTGGTGGATAGTGACCACAGCAGGTCACTATGTCATCCTGAAGTTCCCCATTCCTGGCTTAGAAACCTGGCCTGACCAAGGCCACAGCTTGATCTCCTCACAGCTCTGAGTTTTCAGAAAGAAACCATTTGTCTTCCCTGGGAGTCTGTGGATGGACACTTTAACCATCTTGTCTCAAAGCTATCCCATTTCTCTTGTAAGGTTTCCTTCATCTATCATCTACCCACCCATCCTTATACCCCACAAAGAGATATCAAGTGTCTTCCAGGCACCAAACTCTGCACCAGGCACAGGGACGCAAAGATGGACGGCTCACAGTCTTTCCACTCAAGCAACTCAACATATGAAAGGAAATATAGACCTGAGCAAAGGAATTGTAATACAATGTGCTGAGCATAACAATGGATGAACATGTACAATTCAAAGGAAGAGTAATGACAAAATGTTCCAGGTAGAGGGATGAGCATATGCAAAACAGGGGAACATAATGCAGCACGGAATGCCTGGGAGATTTTAAGTAGATGTTGCTGTGTGAGTATAAAGTATATGACAGAAGGCAGGGGGTATGGGGCTAACAAGGTGCCTGGGGTCAGATCATGAAGATCCTTTTAGATCATGTTGAGGAACTTGACTTCTGTCTTGTGGAAATATGGAGCCAATAGAAAGCTTCAGGAAGGGAAGAAAGAAGCACAGGAACATTATAGAAAGATCACTCTGATTGTGGAGGAGCATGGATCAGGTTGCAGGAATCCTGGAAGCAGGGAGACCAATTAGGAGACAATTTCAATAAAGCATTCTGCTTTATTTTGTTAAGGCATCTTAGCTGATGCAGTACCCTTTTTTAAAATGCAGTTTAGAGAGTGAAAATGTAATTGTAAGGTATAGGTTTTCCTCCCTGCTTCCTGTAGTTGTTCGTACCTCCAACAGAGTGGGGAGGCTGAGCAGCATCAGAGTAGGAACTGGGTTTTTTTTCCTCTCTCTCTCTCTCTCTCTCTCTCTCTCTCTCTCTCTCTCTCTCTCTCTCTCTCTTTCTCTTTCCGATATTCAAAATTCCTACCTCCTGCATGCTAGGCAAGTGCTCTACCACTGAGCTACATTCCCAACAAGATGTTTAAGGAACAAAGGAGATGATTTAGGGCCCAGTGAAGGACTAAATGTTCTCCTGAAAATTTTCTCATGCTTAAAAGAAGTCTGCCAAATCTGAGAAACCTGGCACATAGCAAACTTTAGACAAGTATTTCTCAGAAAGTGGGAAAGAGGAAAGGGAGAAAAGAAGGAGAAGAAAGGGAAAGAAGATGTTACAGATAATTGGATGGATGGATGGATGATCAGTGGATGAATGAATGAATGAAGAATGGATGATGGATGGGTAGGATGATGGAAGAATTCTTGGGTGGGAGAAGGGAGTATTTAGTGAAAGAGTGAAAGAAGAGAAGATTAATGGATGGATGGATAGATAGAGGATGGATGGATGAATAGATGATAAGTGAGCAGAAGATTTGATGGTTGATCATGACTCTCTACATTCTGTGGGATGTGCCTTAGAGAAGCTAATATGTCTTCCCATTGCCTCCAGTAGTTTTCATTCCCATGGGAAAGGCCTAAGGAGATATGATTTATACCTTACCCAGAAATAAATAAAAGTTCTGGCCACAGGAGCTTTCAAGAAACCTGACCTGGCCTCACTAAGTCTAAGCATTGGCACTAGATGACAGGTGGTATCAGGAACCTACAGAATAGCTACCTATACTTGCGGAGCTTCTGTTTCCTTTGATGTTTGAGAGCGTCCTGCCCTCCTGCTCATATGGCCTTGCCTGGCAGGCCAGTGTACTTATATTCTCTTGTTGCTCCCTTTCCAGGTGACTGGGCTCAGGCTGAAGCTGAGTCTGACAGGATGAGGAAACCCAGACAGGACCACTTACTTCATTTTCCCCAGCCCTGGGAAGGAAGCCAAGTAACAAAGACGGCACCCCATCTGTCTTGGCTCATGTCCTCCCTTCCCACTTCTGCCTGTAGCTTCCAGGCCTGAAATCTGCTCTGACCTTTGTCACAGCTTGACTCTGGCCCCCTGCCTGCCTCTGAACTTCTGTGACTATACCCACTGTCTTCAGCTGCTCATCGGGTTGCACAACCTTGGTTTCACCAGGGCTTAGAAGGGCTTGGAATATTCTGCTTCTGGGTTTTCTTGCTTGGTACTCAGTCTAAGCCCAGAGTCACCTCAGCCTTTCTGCTGCTGTTTCCTGGCCCAATATCTACAACCTGTCAGTCCCGAGGTAGAAAATAAACCAGGTTACACAAGATTCCTTCAGGTGTCCCAGGCTCCTCCTGGGGCATTTGATAGAAGTTGCCACAAAATACATCTTGGGAGTATGTGGTCTCTTCCACTTCTGTCAAGAAATTGACTTTTCCCAAATCACTGTTGGTTGGTAGCATGAGAGTTATGGATAGAGCCCCTGGATGCCTCCTTAGTAGTCCTAGACAACAAATCAAGGTTAGGTAGCAATTACTCCCAGTGATGGAAATGGAGGCCTCAGGTGAATATTCTGCTGATTGCTGAGCAAAAGGCTGGCCCAGCAGGAGGAAGCTGAGCAAGAAACAGGAAATCCTGGGTTTTCAGAGGAGCCGGTCATAAAAGTCCCAAACCAGAAGAAGTTTCATTTCCTTTTTGAGGAAGAAGTGAGTCACAAGCTATTTTCCTATGGCCATGCTCATCTGCAGGTATTTATTGAGCTCTTCTCCCATGCAAACCTGTGGGTGCTCTAAGTGGTCCCTGGACTAGAAGGAGAAAAGACAGAGCAGGGAGGCAGTTTCCTCAGACACACCTTCCAACCAGGCAAGTAGACAATTTTTTTTTGTGAACATTCAGGAGACTATCTGTTTTTCCTAAGTAAAGAGGAACTTTGGTCTAACCTAGAGTGACCAAAAATCACTACTGTGATAAGAGAAAGGGAAGTCTGTGCTCATTTTTCCTGTTTCCCTTCTCTCCATGATCCCTGGGTTCTAAGACCTTCTCTGGATAAGGGTGGAGGAAGTTTGACCACTTTCCCCACTTCTTGGGGTGCCACAGCTTTATGCTTGAAGGAGGACCATGGACACCATCATTGAGAATAAAAAAAATAGACTTCAGTTGTTTGAAATGTCCCAGTAGTGCTGAGAGTCACTTCCAAGAAGTGGTAATCTAAGTTCCTCCAGTCAAGGCATGAAAGACATGAGAGTGAGYAACAAACTGGGGAGTAGAGACAGTAGAAGACAAGAGGGAGGGAAGAATAGGGTAGAGAGGAGAAGGGAGAATGACTATGCAATTAGAGAAAATGACCATTACATCTGGCCAGAACTGTACCACAGGCCTCAGGGAGGTTAGTTTACATACATCAATTACCTAGTTTTGTTGGCTGAGAGAGTCTAGAAATGATAACACTCCAGTAGAAACAAACACACTCAACACCAATATCTTGGCTTCTAAATGCTATTCTCCAATAAAGGATACCAGGGATCTTTGGAGAAATTGATGATTYTAAGGTTATATCAGGGAAAATTCAAATACACCTGGAATATCTTGTGTACCAAAAATTAAGGAAGTGCTCAAAAAACAAAAGGATAAACAACAGGATGAGAGCGTGTCAAAATGAGACAAGAACCAACCTGAAAGAGTTCCCAATGGCCAAAGTTGGAGATATTTGGGCCACAAATGGATTATAAACCAAAATATAAAATACACTTACATGAGTCAAAGCTGATTTAAATAAATATAGCAGAAAGACAAATTTTCCTACAGGAGAATCCCAAATAATACACATAGATACTCTTCCCTTCAGGAGGTGGTGCTTAATTATCTCCTTCCCTCAATAGGCTTCTATCCTGCAATCTTATAAAATTTACTAATTAATGCTGACAATTTATCTGTAGATAGAGCAGGGAGGAAGAGCAGGAAGAAAAGATTAAAATTAAACAGAGACATGAGGTGGGAGGGAAAGGTAGAGAAAAGGGAAATTGCATGGAAATGAAGGGAGACCCTCATTGCTATACAAAATTACATATAAGAGGTTGTGAGGGSAATKGGAAAATAAACAAGGAGAGAAATGAATTACAGTAGATGGGGTAGAGAGAGAAGATGGGAGGGGAGGGGAGGGGGGATAGTAGGGGATAGGAAAGGTAGCAGAATACAACAATTACTAATTGGGCATTATGTAAAATTGTGAATGTGTAACCGATGTGTTTCTGCAATCTGCATTTGGGGTAAAATTGGGAGTTCATAACCCACTTCAATCTAATGTATGAAATATGATATGTCAAGAGCTTTGTAATGTTGTGAACAACCAATTAAAAAAATAAAATTAAAAACAAAAAACAAAAAAAAAAAAGAAAAAAAATTTATCTGTAGGTGCTTTAGGATTTCCTATTAATGGAATCATATTATCTATGATTAATGTTATTTTTATTTCTATATTCCCAATTCTACTTTGTATTTCTCTTGCCTTATTRCGTTGGCAAGGACCTCTAGTTGTTGAATAGAGATGGTGACTTGAGGCATCTATATCTCATTTCTAGTCTCAAAGGAAAAGCTTTCAACATTTCAAATGAAGACTTCAATTAAAATGAACTAATCACTGCATTATGCATTTCCTATCTACTGCTCATCTACTTCTCCACAGAAGATAGGGTGTTTTGCTTCCTATATTAGTTTCCTCTTGCGGCTATAACAAATTAACCACAAACTCAGTGATTTAAAACAATACAAATTTATCTTACATTTCTTAATGTCATGGAACACCAAAGAGAATCCCCAGGTATGAAACTGTCCCCTTAACCACACTGGTCAGGAGTTAGCACTGGTTCCTCAGCAAGGAGGAACTGAAGATGATGGCAGCATAACCCATGACAAGGATTTTGTAATTCATTCATTCATATCACACTGC